CTCTGCCTCCCAAGTGCTGGGATTAAAGGCGTGCACCACCATGCCCGGCCTAAACAACTTTTTATATAGACTTAAGCCTAATGTCAGGGAAGTGTAATCCCTTGAACTCTTAAAGAAGTATACTGATGACTTTACACTTTGGTTATACTTTCCTTTTGGGTGTTTAAGACCATACAGTTGGCCCAAATAAATCAATTTATTTTTACATTTAATGTCATTTGAGGATCTGTTCCTCAAGGGTCACATGGACTTGGGAGGAGCTCCTAGGTCCTTTCTGTTACCAGTTCCATCTATGTGAAGATAAGTCAAAAGTCCTGTTAAACCATGGCTAGCTTCACTTGGAAGAATGAATGAGATGTTTCCTCTAAGCTGACCCTCCTCTTTGTAGACTGGACGCTTGTTCAAATCCATCTCGTGGGGTCTCTGTGGCCTCCCTGAACAAGAAGACAGGTGACTCACCACAATTACAGGACATTTTGAGAGATGTTCCACAGTCCTCTGGAACTTAGTCAACCTTGGAGGGCAAGGGACAAAAACTATCCTTTATGTCCCTCTGACCACATTAGTATAGGCCTCAAACTAACCTTATTGGATATTCAACAGCCATAGTTGGAGCTGCTGTTTGAGAGCAGCTGGTTGCTTCTTGGGAGAAAGCTTGCTTCCTTTGAGATCAGATGTGCTGATTCTAGTGTCTGGGGACTGGATGCAGTGTCAAAAACATTGTAATAGTGACAGCCTAGGATATCAAATATATGAATATGAATATAAAATTCATAATGTTTTCTACTCATTTATTCTGTAACTGCAAATTCTAACAATACTCTCTAAGACATGACTTGGGTACTATGAAAAATTATCCAAGTTTTTGTTGTAAGAAGTGCCCTGGCCAGATAGAGTTCAGTTCAGAATGAGGCATCATGTCTTAGAGTTCCAGATTATAACTTGGGCTTTGCTTGCTCTGTGCCTGTGGCTGTTGCCCACCAAGTGATCTGCAGTTAAGTACTGTTTCTTTAATGGTGGGTAGAGCTCATGAACATAATTAAAATCAGGGATTGTACGGTTATTCACCAGCTACTTTCCAACCGTTCCTTGATTGTAAGAACCATCTAGAATGCTTATGAAACACTGGATTTCTGTATTGGTTATTTTTATTGCGTTAGATCAAGGTCCTATTAGCAAAGATAACAGGGAATATGTTTATTCACATTTGGAAGCAAAAGATTACCAGATTTGGGGAACAAGTATGATTATTTTTGCCATTAATAAAATTAATTCAGAATAATGAAGTGTAGTGTTTCTCAACACGTGTTAAATACTATTTTCTATGGAAGAGTTCAGAACTGTGTATAGTTTGTCTTACGACTGCTTGTCCTTACACAAAGATATTTAGTGAAGCATTGGGCTTCTCGTTGACTTTTGGGTTGTAGATGTTTGCAGTTGTTCTTGCTCTTGGGGGAGGCTGGAGTCTCTAGTAGGGCGATGAGTGAAACTAGCTGCCGCATGTGGGAATTAAGTCCTTGGAATAAATCTCATTACATCCAAGCCCTAACTGGTGAAGTTAATTGGATACAGGTGACTACACATGATTCATCCTAATTGTATTTTTAGCAAAAAGGCTTCACAATGAAAAACAAAGAAAAAAATATTCATGAGTTTTAAAAGCCAATATACAGTTTGTGGGCTACTGCTGGCCTTGTTCTTATATGTTATTTATTAACATCCACATCTACAATGTAAAGCCCTGTAATTATGCATCAAGCATGAATTTTTAAAGAATCATCTCTGGTTGAAGGCAACATGAGATATTTATGTGGAGTGGAGGAAGGATGATTGCTGAGGCAGGAGCAGGAGACAGCAGGCTTATCTAGGGGCAGAGCCCAGGGAAAGCTGGTGCTGGTCCCTTCTCCCCTCTGCTTAAGGGCGGGGCTGGGTGGGGCATTGCCAGCCCTCCTGTCACTGCTTCTGATCGCTCTCTGGGCTCTATCTGTCCTGCATGGAACTAGGGTCCTGGGAGTGCCTGAACCGGACCCAAGCACATCCTAGGCTCTGGCTAAGACTGTCAGCTGACCCTGCGCCTCCACAGATATCCGAGGAAAGGGAAGACAGGGTGGCAGATGAGGCTGGGTAGAACCTTCGAGGAGGCTCAGGAGGATCACTGCTGTAGGGCCTGAGGAGGCAGCACCCAAGCAGGAGCTGTGACTGTGAGCCAGGCACAGGGGAAACAGTGAGCTGAAAGAGATGCTGGAGGACATGCGTTCTAAACCCCAAAGGGCAGACAAGTGCCACAGCACTGAATGGTCCCCTGGGTTAGGTGCCTCTGAGATGCCTTATGTAAGGAGACTTGAATGTGGTCTTGGACTTGGATGCTTTCAGTTTATAGAATGTTCCAGTTCTTGTGGAGCCCAGAACTTTAATGATTAGTGGAAGCACAGTTTGTAAAGGGGGCCTTTGCTTGATGTTGCCTCGGCACCTAATTTTAGAAAACTGGATTAGTGCTCTAAAATCTCTAAAGGGAAAGTAAATTTTTGCCAATTCAAACTCCTGGTTTATGTGCATTAGACAAATTTCAGTTCTTTGAAAATAATGTAATTTTTTGTTTGTATTTTTGAGACAAGGGTTTGCTGCAGCTCATTACATAGCCCAGGCTGATGTTGAGCACAGGGTAATGCTCCTACTTCAGCCTTCTAGGATCATAGGTGTGAGCACCAGGCCTGACTGGTAGTATTCTTTTTGATCTTAAAATTGTCTTGTCTGTGCAGGTGAAACACTTTTGGTCAGAACCCAAAAGCTACATGACAAAACTGCATATGTAAGTTTGTTGTTGTTGCTGTTGTTTTGTGTGTTTTGGGGACAGAATTTCATTTGTTGGAGGCTGGCCCTTGAATGTCTGATCCTTCTGTCTCTACCTGGATTATAGGCATAATCCACCATGCCATCATCATGCAGTGTTAGGGATCAACCCAGGGCCTCATGCATGCTAAGCTGGTACACTGTCAACTGAGCTGCATCCCCAGCCTTCCATATATCATATTTAATCATAAATAACAAACAGAAAAGGTATTGAGTAAAACAAAAAAGAAATAGAAAAGGTATTAGTTGTTGAGACCAAAATAAGGCTTCTGTCAGCCATCTCAGTGATCATCCCCAACCCCAGGAAACTGCATC